CCCCACATATGATCACTCTTCCGAATGGGGCTCTCGTGGTCTAGAGGTCAAGGTGTTGCGAGCGCCGTAAAACACTTTCCAAAATATAATTACAAAAAGAATGAAGAAAAGTTTTAGTGTCGTCTGCGGTTTAGTGGTTAGACTACCGCATTTATGATTGTGAGATTGGGGCGAGCGCGAGGGTTCGAGAGGCTCTTCACTTCACACGAATGTTCCCATTTACCTCACCCCTATAAGGCTGTCCCTGTGGTTCTATGCACCCGCATAATTTACCAAAATTTGATCATTTTTTGCATAATTTCTAATTATTTTCCTTTATCAGTCTTTGTTAAAATTAACAGAATCGCATAATTTCCCATTTTTGGGATCAGTTTTCATAATTTTAAATAATTTTTTTTTCATAAAACCGCGGGGACAGATAAGGAGATGGACGTTCATTTCGGATTACCCGCCTCTTGACATCGACTTTACAGTGTTTCAAGCGGCGTAAAATCAGAGCAATTTTTCCTCTTTTTTCGAATAAGAGAGAGAATGCCTGTCATGTGACACGTTTACAGTACGGTAACTACGGATCGAAAACGTTTGAGAAAAGATTGTTTTATATTTCAGTAAGAGTTTTACTGCACCTGCAGCGCCAAAAGATCATAATATATATGCCTGAGACTAGAGGTGTTACAAAAGAGTATCAAACACACACAAAAAGAGGAGAGATATGAACGATAGATGTTTGATAGGAAAAAGGGACAAACCACACCAGAGCACCAGCCAACCACCCACTAAGAAGGGGATGGGTGGGGAGGGGGGGGGATGGGCTTCCTGGGAATTATTGATTGTAGGTGGGGGCGACAGAAAGCGAAAAATAAGCTACTTAGAAAGAGCATCACGGAGCGAATGAGTTACAACATGTAGGGAGGTATCCAAAGAACCCTCTCGTGCGAGGCTGACCCGATCAGAGAGTGTCACGAAACGAGGTATGGAAGAGACGAGAGTAATGGCACTGTAAGACCACAGATTGTCGCTTTAAAGCACAAGGGGGCTCTATCGAAAAATGCTGTTTTGAGAAAATCGAAGGTACAGTTTTTGAACCCTTGTTCATTTTCTTTAAAAGACAAGGAGAGTTTTCTCTATAACTAAACAAATATACACACAAAGGGAACCAAACTTCCCCTATAGGTATGGCACGATTTCTGGAACCCCCCATTATCTGTGTTAGCCCGATGGTCCTTAACAGCGATCTTATGTGAGGCATCGTGGTGAAATCAAGCGCTTGTCAAAATAATGAAACTGAAGATATCGGCATTTTTTTCCACTGAATTTTCAATTTTAACCGATTTTGTTGTTTAAAATTTGTTTTGGCTCAACACCTTTTATGTCCATTAAAAAGTACATCGTGTAGATTTGGACGGTAAATCGTTGATCAAAGGCACAGAAAATGTAGTACATTTACAGTTTCCAAGTACACTACAGCTTTGACAGCATGGAACTAATGAACTAAAACAAAAAGAGTAATTAGAACCTTCATGCTGCTATCTTTATGGAGAGGACAAGCCTTATATTTTTAAAGTATCATATTCAAACGCAAGTTTTTTTTTGGGTTTTTTTCATGAATGATGTCCATGAGCGTCAAAATCCCAATTAGCAATGAACCTCGCACGTTTTCCCTCAGCCTTTCCCCTTTCGTTATCATTTTTTAAGTATCTTCGAGACCTATTTTTGGACTCCGATCTAAATATGTGCCCTCTTTTCAAAGGTGCAATAATAAAGTTTGGGTCTATTCACGCCAATCTCATTTCTCGATAATTGAAATTTATTATCGGTTTCTGATGCTGCCGGAGAAATATAGCTGCGTCACGTTGTGATTGCATGAGACCCGTTATCTCGTCAATCAAACTATAGACTGCCACTCGTACTGAGCTTAGGTGTAGCGCACCCAATGACTGTCTTCTGGTGGAGTCGAAATTGTCCAAAAACAGCCTCCCGTTGACCTTGACAATCAATAATTTATTTATAGAGGCTCCAGCCATCCAAGTCCAGGGGCTGTTTTAGCCTCTTTTTCTGATTTGTACTCTTTTTCCTGTCTGTGGATTAGTATTCTTTTTGTCCAATATTGTTCCAATTCCTTGCACCCTGTATCCATGGTTCTCAACCTGGAAATCGACTATAATTCGCTGTAATTGCCCCCCCCCTTCCTTTTCTCCTCA